ACTTGTGATGTAAGCGGGGCAAACAAATCCGGACGTGAACTAGGGCACAGCAGTGAGTGGAGTTCCTGGGAGCTTGGATCCCTTAGCCTGCTAATGAAGTAGATGTGGAAATGCCGGATTCTTTAACCCTCGTCCCCGTTTGCTCTGAAACATAACCTTTCGTGGAAATGGAATCTTCGTTCTTTTTGCCTCACAGCCGAATAGATTATCCTGCCCACGGTGGCATCCCAGTGGGTTTTGTTAATGTCCTTTTTTTCTTGTCTTTAAAGGGCTTGCCCGAGGACATCTAAAGAGACCTAGAAAGCTGTTTTTGTTTTTTTTTAACTGAGGTAATACTCGTCTTTTTAAAACTATATTGGTTTCTCAGGGAGTTTGTTCCCTTTATAGTTTAAAATTAAAAAAAAAAAAAAAACTACATTGGGATTTTTTTTTTAACATCTCTCCCCAAAACAGCTGTTTTCTTAATCCAAGTTTTAAAACCTGGAATTGGGTATTTGCAGTTCTTTAGATGGCTCTGACCCTTTACTTACAAAGTATTTAGCATTCTCAAAACTATCTCATAGATGAGATTATGTCCAAGTTATTTTAGTAGCAATTATTTTATTAGACAAATCACCAGCTCTTTGTAAACGTTACTCGTGTGACCTGAATAGAAATAAACACTATTTAAGTGAGTTCGTGAAAATACAGTATTAGTCTGTTTATCCTGTTGAGGTTAAAGCTTTCTTTTTTATGCTTTTATTAACAGGGTTGACGAAAGCGTGCCATATATATGATGCTTGATAACATCTGCTGGGATTGTGTTTTGTAGGTTGCCTTTTTTGTGAGACCTAGAATCTACTTGCACAACACCCTTAGAAGATTTATGATCTTAACAGTCTTTTGGGGTTCAGCACAACAAACAAAAAGCCTGCCTTCAAGCTTAAATCTTTGTAGACGAGCCAGGCAGTTTGTTAGTTTAAAACAAGTTTTTCCTATTCCCTTTGTATTCCAGTTAGACCAGGCTGGATTAAAGAAACAGCTGAAGTGCAGAAAGGGACAGGGTAATGTATGGGCGAGATCAGTACTCGTTGTAAAAATTCTTTGGCCTTCAGCGGACACTGAGCATCTGGTCAGATAATAAATAGACTATTTTAATCTAAATAAAATCTGACAGGCTTATTTTCTTTTTTCCCTCTTGGCGCTTTCAAAACTAAAAATAGTAGAACCATTTGATTGCAGACTCTCCCATGGTTTCTTTTCCCATTGTGCTCTCATGTTTAAAACATTTTGAGTGTAAGCAGAAAGGGAAAACCCAAGATTTTGCTAAGTTTTGACAAACACTTTTTTAAATTATGAACTAATCATCTTTGGAAACTGAGGCCTGTCTTTAAAATGTAGCCCTCCAGGGAGGCTTTGCACTTTTGTCTGCTATGTACTGTGCCATCCAGAGCACTTCACATTTTTGCTTGGGGCTTCAGGGGATCCAGTGTGCACTGCAATTCCAGGTGCTCAGGGAGACTCCTCTCCATCTGCCTTGGGCAAGATTCAGACAAGGGCCTTCTGAATATAAACTTTCAGTCTCTTACATATCCCTAGAGAGTGTGGCCCTTCAGGGGTCTGCCTCTGCCTCTCTGCCAGCACTATCGGTCTCCTGTCTGAGGCATGGTTTTGTGTGTGTGTGCATGTGGTACTAGGGTTGTGTCTAGTATCTTTGCACTGAGCTATATCCCCAGCCCTTCTCATATTGTTTTGGGGTAAGGTCTTCCTGACTTTCCCAGGGTCGGCTTGAACTATTGCCTTCCTGCCTCATCCTCCTATTGTGCTGGGACAACAGGCGTGCAAAAACGCCCAGGGCATGGCCTTTTAAACCCAAATATCTGCAGGTGATTTCAAGGCTCCTAGAAAACCTCCCCAGTGAGTAACATGCAGAGTGCCTGCCTACATCTGTGCTGTCTGTCTCT